GAGACAACAAATAAGTAAAGTACTGAGATCCACAGAATATGTTGAGTCAGATCATGAAAAACTATTGCAAAAAAGATATGATTCATTACCATCAGCCTCGTGCCACCAGCCGCTTAACAATAGTTGTGATTAGTTTGAATGGAGGAGGATTACTTTGGCCAGATGTCCGGCAGGATAGTTCCATTTCTTATTCTTGTATTGTGCTCCGAAAATTCCAGTCCTTTATTCAGTAGCTTCTTGAATTGTCAAACTGACACTAGGAAGAAGATCTAGATCAATCTAAGAAGGTACTGATTGTTACTACCGAGGTTAAATTACTATCAGTTTGAAAAAAAACTTTTTCTTTGTTTTCATACGGCCCGGCTTTCACGTCTACTGTGCGGATCGCAGCACTCCTTGCATCCGATTCGTTTCATCGCACGTATCATCCGTGAAGACATCTAAAACCTTTTGGTTGTGGGTGCACTTGCTGATTGCGGATCTTCCCTTTCACCATGAATGTCGTTGAATGTTGGCCAAGCCGATTCTCCCCTGGAGTCCGTAGTCAGGCTAGAGCGTTCCCACTTGGAATGCAGGAAGTGGCCTATTCTCAAACATGTCCGGTAGCAGTCTCCCGACTCCGGAGAGATGAGAGGCTTGGTGGATCGAACCACCATCGTGCCCGTGATGATTTGCAGCACTGCCACTGTATTGTCCATCTCCTTTGAGAAATATTGTTTCTGTATATTCTGTATTATTTTTTTATTATGCGTTTAGATTCCCAAAGAGAAGCAGCATGTGGACTTTAGGTTGCTTGTTGCTAATTGACCGAAATAAACAGGATCTCTTACGAGTCAGCTTAAACGCCATTGTAATTACATGAAGTAATCGGCTACTTTCGTTTGGATGAGGTTATTTGCCTCAGGTTAACTTCCTTAGGACTTGTGACTAAGTTTGTCCTCTGTCAGCTGAGATTTTTTTTGTATAGATTCACTCCAAATTCTTCTTATGGATAGTAATTTCGTGATATCTGCTTTGGCGTTCATGCCGTTGTGAAGAACCCCTATCGCGTTGTATAGAAGAAGGCAGTTAACCTCACAGGGTGATCTCATATATTGTATGATAGGTATTCTACTTCTTATTCAAGATTATACTTCTTACGTTACATCTAGTCACTCTTACTATACCTATCACCTATCTCTTCGTGTTGCACGTAATGAGATCATATCAGTGTCTTTTCACCGGATTCAAAGTGTTTCAGGGCTACGAATCCCAAGAACGACTTTCTTTTAACCTCGGGATTGATCAATAATTCACTGTCTTTCTTGGTGGCCAAACACGAGATTGGTATTACAGCATTTACTAATATAAAATAGCTGACAATTCACTTTCTTCAGAGCTTTGGAAGGTCAAATTGACATACAATCCACTCAGTCAAACACTTTCATAACCTCAGTTTAATATATGCGTTTTATATTTAAAAAGTTAAATTAAATTTAAAAATATATGTGTTAGGTTTTGTCGACCGAGGTTATAAAATCATCTGGCTGAGTAGACTGGATGTCAGTTTGACCTTTCCAGGCTTTGAAGAAGGCGAAACCGCCGAAACGTCATCTATTCTGTACTAATAAATGCTGTTACACCGACTTCGTGTTTGGTCATCAAGAAGGACAGTGAATTATTGTGACGGCTGGTTCATACCGTCCACAGACCTGAGTTAAGAGGTTAACGCGTTACAATAATCTATGCGCAACAGCGTGGATAAACGGGTCTCATCAAGGAATAAAGTGTTTCAGTATTTTTAGTGCTAAGTTCAATCTCGTATTTCTCTTTGGGAGTTGAGTACCTTCGGATGATTACAAGAACCACCACATTGGGTTTTGTTATTTGCTAGACCTTTGACCTTTGCTAATAAGCCGATAAGGACGATGTGGAGACTTTGCTGGATTGAGAGTACTTTATCGTTCATTACGCGTACCGATCTTACCTTATACGTTATCCTCACTCTTTATATTATGCACTTAATGCTATATATTAACTAAGTCGTCCTTCATTAGAATAACTCATTACACATTAGGAATAAACACGTATGAGATATCCATTATGCGCTGAGCACCAAATATGTTCATCGTTACTAACGACCCATATTCTTCGTCGAGCAGAGTATGCTGTATTGCAAACCATTGCTCCAATATATGACTCATATATGACTTACATCCGCACTGCATAAATGCATATTTAGGGTTGCAATAAGGATTAAAGTTTTTTGAAGAGTTAAGAGGTCGGTTGATCATGAATGCGCCGGCCAATGTTCATAAATTCTTCATTTGAGAGTAGTATCAATTTGCTGAATACAGTATTCGACGTTCCTGAAGAGTCGACAACTGAAAAACTACTCTGTCGCTTGGCGTAAAAGTAACAAATAAAGCTGGTAAGTTTTAGACCGATCACCTGGTTGGTGGCTCTCCTGGTTAATTCGAAATGATGTCTTTTCATCATGCACTTCGTCAATCTCTTGAAGCAATTCCAGCATATCAAATACATTCTATTAGATTATGATGACATCGTAGGCGAACTGATGACTGGATAGGGATCGTCGGATATGATGACTGCTTCATACGTTAGCATGAATATCTGAGTCCTGCAGAGATGCCCTGCACCAAGATTTGATCCGTGTGTTCCTGAAGCACCTGTCTACATCTTCATGGACCGAATGACATCCATCACGCGATTGACTACTCAACAGGAAGCTGACGCAGTACTAGGTTTGTGCTAAAATGTAAAGTACGAGTCTCACTGTAAGACAGCACATCTTCTTAAGGGCAAGATGTACAGGATAGCATGTCCTGTTGAACACCGTAATTCATTTTTCGTTATCAACAAAGCAGAAGAGCGATTCTTAGTAGATCCGAATTACTCCGGGTTATCGAGTTTCTTTTGAGTTTCTGGAAGGCTAGAGGGTCGAGTGATATTGCCGTCACAGACAGCTTTATTCTTCATATAATAATTTAATTCAGAACTTATAGACTTGATTCGACTGAAACTTTCGTCATACGTCTTCATTATATCGAAGCACTTCAGTCGAGGAGGGCGCCTGGAGTGCAGTAGTTAGGGGTGCTTTGAGCGCATGTGGTCATTAGTTCGGTCCCGCTTCCCAACTCACCAAGGCTTCCATCGGTAGATCGGTACTAGGCTTATCTAGGAGGATAGCAGCACTGACTTCTTACATTAATAGGAAACCTTAAGTTATTGTATAGCTCAGCTATGCATTCAATCACCTTTAACGATGCTTAATGAACTCAAACATCCCTTAGGGATTGATCAACACCGAAAGTGTTATCCTTTATCCTCAATACGAGTCTAATACAGGTGTGGAGCCAATGATCAATACGATCAACGAACCATTAGCTTAACAATCTAAGAAGGTACCTATAATGAATTCTGGAGAACAAGCGAGTTATCGATTCAAATCCAGGAGGTTTATGGACTTAACATCGATGACTATTACGGGTTTAAATACACGTCGACCTTGGCTCACGAAAAAGATTGTTTATAAAAAAATAGTGTCTTCTGCCAAACTAGTTATTCTTCGTGGCGATCTGACATTGAATTCCCAGTGGAGCGCACTTTTTTCAGCGTCACGTCTTGAAAGTATTTCGATGCTTCCTCAACTTATTATGCTTATTTCTTTAACAGTTTTGACCTCAGTAAAAGGTTTCAGATTTAAATGAGCCTTCTATAGTGTATGTTAACATTTATGAATGGTAATGCTTAATGAATAATTCTCAATGCTGAAACAAATCGCAGCGGTTGCTTAGGCTTTCGAAGAAAAGAACCTCAATCCTTAATGCTTCCTTGTATCAATATTCCAAGTAGATGAGAAGATATGAGCCGTATTCTATACATGAATTATCGGTGTTTGGTTGAGTAGGTTTTTTTTTCAGTACAAATTAATTAATGTTGATGCACGTAACTGAGGTTCTGAACTGATGTTGATGTTGATGGTATTGTTACATTTCCTTTAATCCGTTGTTCCTTGAATTTCCAGGAGATACTCGGCGATATATGTACTGAATTGTTTTGCAGTACTAGGTACGAACTGTTTCAAAGTATAGTCTGCACTGTCCTAAGTTTAGTACAGTTCGTGTAAGTATGAGGTTACCAATTCAGTGCAAAAAATACGGAACATAGGCTGTGGATAACATTGTAATCACGTCTATAATCTTTTTACCATCCGTTGTTCTGCTAGCTGTACTTTTGATTTGAGTAATCTTTTCAAACAGAATTAAATTGGAAGACGGATTTTGAAGCTTTCAGATGGTCTTTCTACCCGTTCATCCAGACGAACAGGAATTCGTCAACACCGCCATAAATTTGGTGAAAGAAGCCGGAAGGGTGTGTGTTTTAATTTATTGCACCTGTTTGCTTCGTTTTTAAGCTTTGGTTCCCTACCGAAAAGGTTCTAATGCTCTCATCCAGGGTTCGCAATATACTGTTTTTAAATGCTTGCTTACATGGATACTTGGATGGCCTATGTTCACTGGTTGTTTGGGTATTCTTCATTTTTTCGGAGTTTTGCTGGTTTGGTTATTGTAGTTCCTTAGAGTTCCGACGTCATCCAGGGCGAATTCTGCCCTGTGTTATCACCACCACAGGGAATCCCCGCTTTTGTGGATCAGAGGAAGATTTACCACCATGCGATTAACTTGATACCAGGACGACGGTAGATCCTGGTATTGGTTTACTCTTTGTCTGGCTTCCTGATGGAAACGCTGGACTCATCATCTTGGGAGACCATGCTGGGGGGGGGGGGGGGGGGGGGGGGGACCCCCCCCNGGGGGGGGGGGGGGGGGGGGGGGGGGGGGGGGGGGGGGGGTGAACCCCGCCACTGTAAATCGCAGCCCCACATCCAGAAACGCCTTCCAGTCACATTGAGGAGGTAAACCATTGAGTGGGCTTTCATATGCTTCTGTATTTATACACATATATATGTAGTTATATTTTTGTATATCTAATCCCAGATTGTTCGTGCTGCATTCGAACAGCCAGTTTGTGTTGTTAAAACAAAAGAATCTGCTACGGATCTAGTAACAGAAACTGATCAAGCTGTTGAAAAATTACTTATAAACGGATTATCAGAAGCGTTTCCTGGTCACAAGTAAGTTAGTTTCCATGTAATACTCCCCTTCTCTCATGAGGTAGGTATCCATTAGTACAGATTCCTTAATTCAGGTTTATTGGCGAAGAGTCGGCAAGCGTTGGACCGTTCACATATACGAATGATCCCACTTGGATTATCGATCCTATTGATGGCACAACGAATTTTGTTCATCGGTCCGTTTAGATTGATAGATTCTGTAACGTTTTAATTTTCGGATTCGTTTACTTACATGTCTTAAGGTATGCAATCGTCTTTAAGCTGCCGATATCGATTTTTTTTGTCTAATCTTAGCTTTATCTTGTTTAACTTTTTTGTCGATCTTGTGTAGCTTTTTTTACTACATTTCCAGACAAAATGACCACTCGCTTTCTTGGTCATAGATGAGAACTACCTTCATGTTTCGTGCGATTCCAACCACTTCTTTGTTTCTTTTCGATTTTTCCTTTTCTATCGTCTTTTACGGCGCTGAGCAAGCTTCTACGTAATGTTCTTCAATGCAAGGCTGTGTTACCTTCTTCCAATATAGGCCGAATGCTGGTCGAACGTTGTTTTCCCAGAAACCCGAAGTAGCCAGTCTAGGTCGTTCTCAGGTCGCCACCATAATGGTTATTGACCTTTGTGAGTCGTAGAGAAGTCTGCTGCTTGAATCCTTGTAGGACGACAGCGACTCCTGTAATTAGTGGAGCGATCGGCTATGAACCACGTGATAGGCCCAGTCGAATTTTTTTTTAACAAGAATTGAAATATAAATATGAGATATAGGTATAAATTATTTACAAAATAGAAGATATAACAAGTGGTTCGGCGTTAATCAATTCCTAAAGGGTGCATCATGGATTCGACTTCACTAAGCATCGTTTGAGGTGAATGAATGCATATCTGGCCCCTTCAATAACTTTTGTGGCCTTCTTGTACATCAGATTAGTGTTGCTATCTTCCCAGAGAAGTCTGGCATTCATTTGCAAACCATTTGGAGGGTTTAATGAGGTCCTGGCGCGCGGGATTGGTCCAACGATCTCTATATTGTAGGGCATCTTTAACTACTGCGCTGCACACGCCTCTACAAAATGGAAAATATATATATGTATACATATATATATATATATATATATATATGTTATCTACATATGTTTCCTACTTTCATATTATTGTATTTACTTATATTTCATTTATTACATATATGTATGTATTTCAATATGTGCCCAATCCACTCGCAAAGTCTGAAAACTTCGTGAATAATGAAATGCGAAGAATCGAATGCAAAAGTGCTGGAATTCGCACGGTGTTTGATGTCTTGTCATAAAAAATATGCGTGTATGTGTACTTATAAATGTGTATGCACTTGTGTACACATACGTATATACGATGTAGTTTCTATTAGCTTTCGTTTCTGAACTATTGACACCTCGGCAAATATTTGAAGTATTCGTGTTGTTTCACCGAAAACGTTTCGTTTGAATTTTTTGTGTTTCTCTACTCTGCAACTTCTAGTATTCCGATCGTCGCCATTTGCGTTGGTCTTGCGATTAACAAAGAGCTTCGAGCTGGGATCGTCTACAATCCAGTGACGCAAGAACTCTACTTTGCCCAGGTAGGTATTGACGTGTCGTGACCGCTTGTATGAGTACCTAGTCGTAAAATGTTTTCGTCTTAGCATTTAATTCATGTACGATTTGTGCTAGGATGGATCGATCTTCTTCAAAGAAATCTTCAGGTCGGGTGTGGAGCGTTTAAGAATGGCTTTCCTATACATGTGTCTACCACAACTGGTAAGTTCATGCTTTTACATTCATCAGTAGCTGATCTTTTAAAAGATCAGGCGCTTTTTAAATTTTAAATCTGAACCTTTCAAATTATTTGGATATAGCAGCTTTCTTCAGTAGGTTAGATGTGGAATAAAAATTTTCGCGCGTTAAGCTATTTTTCGGGAATCATTTAATTCCATTCTGTGCTTTTCATTCCTTCGTTGAACGGTATATCCAAAATTATTTTGTGGCGACAAGTCTAACTTAAATAAGATCACTGCTCATCCTAAGAGCTCCAGAAACTTATAGTTTAATTCTAATCTTGGCATATATTTGTCGTGCTTCTCACCAATAATGCGGTAAATTGCTATCTATTAAGATTATCATTTTGTGAGTTTCAAGCTTTTGACCTGTGCAATAATGATACTTTGATATTCGTTTTCGTCTTAGGGCTTTGTATGTAGCATGTATGCTCCACATGTACACTAGTTGTTCCCTACTGGCACATTTTTCACTTGCACCATGTGATTTCCAGCTTGTCGTGTGATCTTCATTAAGCATGAATATATTGGGTACTAGTCACTGTACTGGTTTACTTTGTAAATTTTGAGTAGTGTGTTCGTTTTTCTCAACGTTTAGCGCTAATGTGCACTATGAGAAACTGTGGCGCATACATTCGCGGTTTCCGCTCATTCCTTTGTCAATTTCCCTTCCAAATTATGAGGCTGTCTATCATTTTGGGGATAAGTGGTTGGTTGCTATTTTTTGTTATAAAGTATGAAATACGTATTTGCACTAGGTTGTCCGGGAATACTTTCTCGAACCTTCGAATTCAGTTGCAGATATTCATCATGTAGATACTATTAAGATTCACTTGCATGGTATGGTAGTGAACTCGTTAGCCCCGAGAAAGTGTAGTGGCGTGTTCAAACCCCACCGCAGACACCAGCGGTCTGGAGTTTTGCAAAAATTTCATCATTATTATTATTAAGATGCAGTTTTTATAATGAATACTTGTTTTATCGGTGCTTGATTATGCAGTTCGTCAGAATATGGATGATTTGTTACGGCCAGTTGTTTAACTATGCTTCAGCAACGGTGATTTGCGTTTCTCATGCAATAATTTATGGAGGTATGTGAAAAATATGCTGTCAGTGTTAGGGTGGTCCGATGGATATACTGAATGAATCAAGTCCAAGTCGAAGGCCCTCATTTTGTATCCGAATTCGTTCGATGTCTAACTTTTGCTAGCAAACGGGTTTTTATCGCTTAATAAGGATTTTAAGGAAGGGTGGATAACTATGTGTACCACCATATTTTTACTAGAGATAACTGAGAGACAGGCGAAATGAAGGACTCGTATGGTGTGGTGGTGAACGCGTTAGCCCACGGAAAGGATAATAGCGCGTTCGTTCTCCACCGCAAACACCTGCGGTCCGGAGTTTTGAAAATATCTCAGCAACGTTGTGGTTATACGTAGCGCAGATATCCATTTCTCCTGAGGGAAAGATGGTGAGAGAACGGTGGACAAGATTTCCGAAGAGTGCAGACTTTACAGTAGGATATCATCTGCAAAACTTGCGCCATTCTTTTGTACTGATGAAATAACTGTGTTATGTATGAATTTTCGGTTACGAGTAAATTTTCAGTGACTGAGGTGTTCACGAAAGAACCAAGTAGAAATTGTGCGTATCCCGTATGATGCATGGAATTGAATCATTCATGTCTTCCGGTACTTCAGTAGGGGGGTGTGGAATTATATGGGATATCTATGATGTTGTGGAGATCATAATTTCCATCTTATCGTTCAACATTCTCTCCAGAAATGTGGTGTTCCCTTTTTGAAGAAATAGAGTGCTTAACAGTGTCGACTAGCTTGATTTTCGTCTGCGTTACCTTCACCGACGAGCTTTTCGAATCTTAAACGTCTTTCCAGCATTCGAAAAGTGCGTTGCTTAAGACACTATTTCTAACTAGAGTTCTTAGATTAAATCTGATAGTTCTGACTGACGGCAGGAAAACTTTTGGAGGACTGACATTTATGAAGATTAGACTATATGCATTGAGGGTTACGCATTTTGAGTCCATTGTTGTTTCCCGGATGACCTTGTGTCACATTTTCTATTCACAAGTAATATTAACATTACTACATATATACACTAATACAATATATTTAAAGCATTACTTTAATTGTAACTCAGAAATGAAACAAGGAGGGGGCAGCATATCTTCGCTATGAAATCATAAGCGCGCTTTTCAATCATCTATTATTTATGTTGTTAAAGTCCACAACGACATAGAGGTAATGTCTTTTTTTTAATAAATATATCTATTTTGGTCTGCACTTGTGTAATCCTTGTCTTTATTTTTCGTTGGTTTTGGTATATTGTGGAGTTTGCATCAAAACGAGGTAATAGGTCATCATCGAGAGACTTAAAAGTTCTTCTAAGTAAATGGACCAACGTATTTCCGTTATGTAATTGATGGCTTTAGTTTTTTAAACTGTTGTTAGCTGATAGTGAATAGAAGCCCTTAATTTCGTTAGGATGTTTGTTCGAGTGGAGACTGATAATTAGAATCAGTGTTATTGACTATTGAGCAAGGTAATCAACGCGCCCTAATGGGGGTCTTTTGCATTGTGGGATGATTTTAAGGTCTCGATTTTGCATGTTTTTTATATACTCTAATCAATGTCGTTAATACCTATAGCTCTGAATCGTTCGCTGATTATGGCCTCGCTAGCAATCCATAACTACAATAAAATCGGTGAGAGTTGGTTGGACATCGCCCAGAGCAATATGCGACGTCAAGTTGAAGCTGGTATCAGAGGGTAGGTTTTTCTTCGTATATCACAACGTCATATTGTTAGATTATTAATCACTGTAAGTAATTTGTTTGCTATTCTTGCTATGCTGCCACAGCGGAACTGGAATAAGTCGTACTAACGTACTGAATTTTATTCAGAAAGTTTTTAAAAGGTCCGTTGCTTAGATGGCTTTAATTACAGTAGCAGATAGTCGTCCATGGAGCTAATAGTTTTTAGCATTAAATTTTTCAGGGGGAGTTTTTTCTGGCTTCTTTTATCTCCAAATTTACCAACCTATTCAAATGTGTGATATCATTTCTACTGCGTCCCAGTGTTTGGTGTAATAAGATTGTAAAAGATATATCATTTTTAAAGGGTGAAAAATCAATAACTTTACCGAGAACGGATCTGTTTTAACTTTTCCTTTTTGAAATAGACGAATCACGAAGGTGACCGGAAATGTAACTCTTTTTTCAAACTTCCAAATCCTGTTTTGGTATTTTGTCCAAGAAATTGATTTGAGAAATCTTTGGACTTATATATCCATGTTTTTTTTTTTAAATTGGATATTACTAGTGTGTATTAAAAGTAAAGAAGAGCGCGTATAGAGTAGCGGTTAGCGGTGCCCTGTAATACCTGCGCAATTGATGGTTTGACGTCGTAGAGGCAAACCAAATCCTCCATCCCTTCGGGGTTGGCGTATTGGTACCAGCGAGCTTTGGTAGAATAGAAACATTAGTTTAACGCCAGGGCCACTGCAAGTCATTGTATGAGCCAGATTCACCATCCATTCATCTCTATGGTGTTTATTGGAGTCGAGTGCAATGGCTCATCCGCAATGGTTCGTTAAACGCCGAACACTGTATCTGTACTTTTATTTATCAAAGAATGTAGGGATAAACACTGCACAAAAACTGATGGATAGAGAAATGGCAAAGTTCTCTTGCAACTAGTATGTTTATTCGACGAATGCCCGTAAGATAGCAATGTTAATTGACGAGGACAACATCCGAGGAGCGACTTTTTATGTACAGCCCACGTCTTTCGTTTTAAATGGACTTTTCTCAGTTCATAGTGGACTTTGTTGATTAAAATAAAAATTCATTTGAATTTGCATGTCTTTAAGTACGAGTTGTGCCTCTTCTTATTCTGATGGTGATGAAATGCGGATTATCTGTTGCTCATAATTCTCCTTTTTTACGTCAAGGCTCTTCTTTCGAGCCGGATGTTTCGATTGGCAAAGCCGGTTTGTTTATATGGAAGTAAAATTGAAGTAAAATTACCGTCTGAAGAAGTGCCTATACTCCTAAAGTATTGGGGCAAAATCCGTCATATGCGTCTGTCATGTTCTCAATCCCACAAATACTGTAGTCATCCGGAAATCAGAAGTTGACGAAAAAACAGCACGGTGCTAAAGCTGTTATGGATGGAAAACTTCCACACATTGGTTTAATTTGGTTGAGATTCTGGTATGCTCGTACTAGTACGCGCATCCACTTATGCATGAATGAACATGCAGCGGTATATACGGAACACTTAAAGCTATAATTGCACAAGCTAGGAAGTCTCTAATGTGAACCCACTTATACTCTAAGCATAAGGTTGTGTTCTGTTTGCTTCATTTTTGGCACATTATCTCGCATGTGGGAATGCGCTACGTAGCCCTTCGACTATGTGATTGTGGTTGCATCAGTGTTCGAGATCTAAAGAAATTTAATATTTAAGAGTTAAGGTGAAGTAGTAATATGGCCGAACTTAAGTGCTAATGTTGAAGAATGTAGAAAAAATGTAGATCATGTCACATTATATTATTATGTAAATCTTAAACCCAGATGATCGAAAATACTTGGTTTTTTCATTTCTTAACATACGAATCCTTTTTCATAGTTAACTTTATGACTTCAGGTAAAAGCCATTATAATCTAAAAGTCTTTGTTAGCGAAATGTAAACCTTGTTATTATACGATGACGAACTACTTTTTTGAAGCTCACAATTGGTTTTCCTCGCTTCATTTTGCCGAAACTCTCTGAATCTCTCTCAACGAAAAGAACTGAGTAAGCGGAAATTCGTCATGGATATGATGCCCGCCCTATTACATCCATGGATGCAGTTGCTGTGCCTACGCTAAAAACTTCAATTATTTTTTTACATTTTTACGTGTGTATTCTTTCATTGGTGAACTAACATACTGTTGATGAAAAAAGCTTTATTCGGCTAACATTTCGACGCCTTCCTTTTCCTCAGAAATTTTTCTTAAGGTATTTTTAAAATATTTTTTACAACGATGGGCAAGATCTGTTCTGTAAGTCTTCAAAGTGATCAGTTTCCAATCGTTTAATTAATCCAGTTATCAAAAATTTGTCAGTACCTGTCGAAAAGCGCGGTGCCGTTGCGTGTGTTAAAACGGTTCTCCATATGTAAGACGATGTAATACTTGGATACTTCGATGGCCTGTCTTTACTGGTTGTGCGTCCCTAGCATAATTTCCATTTTTCTTCCGGTATTTTGCTGGTTGAGCTACTATGGTTCTCTGAAATCTTGAAATCAGCCCAACCGAATTCTGCTTCAGGTTGTCACCACCACAGACGGTCGCCGCCTCTGTGGATCAGAGGGAGATTTGCCACCAAGCGACTAGTTTGATACCAATACGGTGGTGGATCCTGGTATCTGTTTACTCTTAGCAGGGCTTCGTGATGGAAATGCCGGACTCCTGTGCTTGGGACGCCTTGCTTAGGGTGGGTTGATGAATCCCACCGTTGTATCTCGCAGTTTGACACCCAGGAACACTTCCAAGCCGCGATGAGGTGGTAAACCGTTGGGAGGGACGACGTAATACCATTTACACAATAAAGGTGTGGAAATTGTGAAAAATTAGGTAGAGAGAAAGTAGTAGTAGCATAGTATGATTATAGATCATAGGTAACCCTATATAACTTTTATTTTTCCCGAAGTATTTGCAGAAGTTATAAGAAGCTGAAACTGAAAGCATATCTTAGAATTTTCATAGGTCGAAACTACAGCTAGATGTTGACTTATATGCATGTAATTTGGCAGGTCAATGATGGCTCATATGAGAATGTTGACATGGTCGTCTTTATTCACCACTGAAAGGTTTAAGTGAAGGCAAAGAAACTGTGAGGGAAACTGAAAAAGTAGGAGAAAGGTGTTCTATTAAGGTAGGGGTTTTAACGAAAGAAAGCGGTAAAGGAATATGACTTACGAAAAATAGATGCACTTTGGCTACTGTAGTAAGTTCTGAAAGAATATCCCATCCACTCAGTGCAGTAGAAGTGTAATGCATAAGTTTTATAAACCGAAAGAATCGATGTTTTTTAACAAGAGTGCTTCTGAATATAAGAAAGGTGAAAGTTCGTAAGACACTGATTGCAAAGCTAGGGCCTTTGAATGTTTATTTTCAGTAGACCACACCTTGTTAATGGTACTATGTATTGCCAAACTGAAGAGACTAAGCTTATTATACCTTAATGAAGTTGTAATTTCTGAGTATATGGTTCTGCTAGAGACGGACTTGTTTTAGAATCCGGCACCGAAAAACCACATCCCATGAAGAGACACCAATGAAATGCTATGTTTATACAAGTGGCTAATATAGCGCTCCAAAGAATTTTGTATGTTACTGATTTTACTCTGCTTTATCTCAGTCCAAGAAATTGTTCGGTAGGATTACTGCATTCATCGTGTGTAGTTCAAATCTACTGGGAATTAGTTTTGACCGAAATAATTGAAATAACAGTGGTTCACTGCATGTAACGGTATGGTGGTTTGTCAGCACATTTACTATGGTGGTTGTAGCTACAGGTGTAGTGTTTTGCACACATTTAATACGTTGGCTACGACGCCTTTCATTGGCTCGCCCAATGAGTCATATGTGTGTCATACCGGCCGAAGCAGATTTTCAGAATTTGGCCCTGTTCCTTTCATTACAGTATTCGCTCTACTATTCGGTTTTCCTCTGTTTTTTACAGGTAATCGTTGTTTTTTCTGTTCATATCATATATTTACTCTATGTTCCGTAATGAGTCTTTCCATGCTTTTGGAATATACCTTGTGTAGTGAAAACAAAAAAGATTTCACTATTCAACCAAGTTGCTGTCAACTTTTGGTATTCTCTTGTGGTAGATTTGTAGTACATTTTAGTGCATATGCCGATTCGAAACGACGAATTTCAATCACGTAGTAATTGGAAATGAAGTAGCTATCGATTATTACTCAAAAATGGAGTTCTACAGACTTTCATCACATAGGGTGGAGACGAATTAAGCGTCGTTTTCGACTGACTGCTCATCGAGGGTGAGCCAAGGGAATCTCGCCTAACTGGTCATTAGGAATATGAAGTCTATAACGGTAAGGAGCACCAACGGATATGGACAAGGAAAGCTGTTCATCGATAGTGGGCCGATAGAATCTCGCACATATGAGTATATGAGGTATTCGGGTGGACCAGCAGATGTGGACAAGAAAGGATGAATCATCGGAACTGATGACTGCTGAAGAGACGATGAGATTCAAAAGTGCTTGACAAATACATCTCCTTGTAGACCTTCTATATATTGTCCCATGCTTTCCAAGTATTTCTTGTTTAACAAGGAAAAACTCGTTAACAATCTAACCGCGATGCTCTCAGCCTTTGGTGATTAGTTTCACAAGATATTCATTAAAACCCGTCCCAATTTATGCCCATATTCTTCATACGATTATAAAGGAAAAAATAGCCCACAACTATTGAATCGATCAAGAAATTCACCTGTTTCTACCTTATGGTGGAGAACGATGGGCTACTACGGCTGAGGTGTTATTGGAGTTGCAGTACTTGATACTTGATACTTGAATGGCCCGTCTTCACTGGTTGTGCGAGACCTAGCGTCATCTCTATTTTTCGGAGATTTGCTGCTTAAGCCACTTTGGTTTCCCTGGAATCCCGAAGTCAGCCTAGCCAAAGTCTGCCCCAGGTCGTCACCACCACAGGCAGTCGCAGCCCTTGTGGATCAAAGGGACATTTGCCACCATGCGACTTTGATACCAGGCTGGTGGTGGATCCTGGTATTGGTTCACTCTCACTCAGGCTTCCTAATGGAAACGCTGGACTCAGCTTGGGAGACTCTGCCAGGGGATGAATCGCCCACTCTATATCGCAGTGCGACACTCAGGAATACCTCCCAACCATTATGAGACGGTAAACCGTTCTGAGAGGAGTTGCCTTGCTGCTCCTCTTAGTTCCCAAAGTATGCTAAGTGACAGAACAGTGGACTCACTTCCATTTATCGGATAATGCAGGATGCGATGAAAAGGACAAGCTACACATTGTTGAACTGTCTGTTCGCTGGGCAGTGTCAACAAAAGATTGCATGGGAGTTCACTGGCCTGACAAAAACATCTGTTTTTGAAGAAGAAGAAGGACGAGACTACAAACTCTAGGGAGAGGGTGAAATTCTGCCAATATATCCTACATAAGTGGCAAAAGCGTTGCATGTGACACCTACTGTGACAAGAAGATAGTGCAGATACTTGAATTTAAATCCGAAGTCTGCTCAAGTTTGGTTCAAATGTACGGACGGCAGCTGTTTACAAACTCAGTGTCTTGTCTTAGAAGATGTGGGTGAAGGGATCGGAGATTTTATGATGCCTTTTATAAAGAATCGTCTAGACTTTATAACGCTAAACCGAAACGTCTGCTGGAATACACGCGAAAAAGCTGTGGTCGGTTTATAACCAATGCGTTTTTATTTATTTAGAATACTTCAGTATTTGCCACAAAAGTTTATAGTAGAAATTGTAAATTGTAAAGTTTTAGGTGAAGATTGAGGAACTGTTTATGGTTGTATTGATATATACTAGGTTGTAACACATGAAATGTCCGATTTTAAATGTAGATTTTAAATAGCTATAACTTTTTTTATACTAAATCTTATTAATCGAAATAGACACATTAAGCATATTTTTCCAACAAGAAACAAATTTAACAATTCCAGTTGCATAAAATTCTGGGGTTCTGGAAGCGATGAACTCGTTGAACGCATCTTTTGCGTCATCGTGGTTGGTGGAGCATTTCTTGCGAAAGGATTTGTCAAGGTGCTTGAAGAAGTGATAGTCATTAGGCGAGAGGTCTGGTAAATACGGCGGATGAGGCAAAATATCGTAGCTTAACTCGTTCAACTTCTGCAGCTCTGGTTCGCTACGTGTGGGCAGGCTTTGTCGTGTGGAAGGCTTGTTTCTTTTCTGTTGACTAATTCCGGTCGTTGTTATTGGAGTTTACTGTGTATTTCGTCAATTTGTTGGCAATACCTCTCTGCCGTAATCGTTTTGCCTGGATTCAAAAAGCTGTAATGAATCAGCCCGGTTGCAGACCATTAAATATTCACCATGACCTTTTTTTTGGCACAGTTTGGGCTTTGGGAAATGTTGGGGAGCCTAATCGCAATCCAACCATTGAGCTGAACGCCTCCATTTGTCTTCGGCTGTCATACGGAATCCACTTCTCGTCGCACCTCACAATTTGATCAAAAAAGGGTCGCTTTTGTTACGCAGAATAAGAGCAGACGATACTTCAAAACGGCGATTTTTTTTATTATCGTTAAATTCGTGCGGCACCTACTTGTTAAGTTTTTTGTCCTTCCTATGCGATTTAAGTGAGTGGAAATTGTTATTATACTTGCGCCAAGCTGTTGTGCAAGTTCTGGAACAGTTGTTCGCGTGTTTGCTTCCACTAGCGCCTTCAATTCGTCGTCGTCGTCACGTTCATTGGAACATCCGCGGCCGTCCTTAACTTCGAGGTCGAAATCACCAGATCGGAATTTCCGGAACCATGTTCGCACTGTTGGTTCATCAACACTACTTTCACCCCAAGCTTGATGATATTCCGAGCTCCTGCGGCGGCATTATGTCCACTCCTCCCGTCGTACAAATAAAAGACTCGAATGTCACGTTGATTCATACCAAGGATAAAGGTTGTAAAAACGTCAGAATAATAAATCTTTAAAAAACCAATGCTAGGAATAGAAAGAGCCGACTTTGTGCTTCAGAAATAAATGTTAAACATACGTAAAAAATGACATCTTTACTTAAAAAACTACACGAAACCTCAGTGACATCGTACGTTTCATATGTTAAAATACTAATAAATTCCGTCGGAGGAGTGCATATTGAGATTTCAGAGCCAAGGCAATCGTAGAGTGTGTAAAAAAAATTGTTTATAACTTTAGAATCAATCGTTTTATTTACTGTCTACTCTTTTTTAACGGCAGGGTATATTACGAAATATAACTTCGATGAAACTGAAATAGTGGCAAAACTCCGAACCGCAGGTGTCTGCGGTGGGGAACGAACGCGTTATTGTCCTTTCTGGGGAATAACGCGTTCACCACCACACCATGCGGGTTCTTCGTCTCGCCTGTCTCTCAACTAGTTCTATCGATCTTATCTTCTCTCAGTTTCATTGAAGTTATATTTCGCAATATACCCTGCCATTAAAAAAGAGTAGGCAGTAAATAAAACGATTAAGATTTTGATTATAACTAAAGCCTCAGCTTAACTGGGTTCGTTGCCGATTTGGGCTCCCCAGATCAATCCCGTTGACGGGTTATTGTTGATGGCAAAAGATCAATAGAACTAGCTTAGAGACAGGTGAAACGGAGGACGCCAATGGTGTGGTGGTCAACGCGTTAGCCCCCGAAAATGGTAGTAGCGCGTTCGTTTCCCTCCACAGACACCCGCGGTCCGGAGTTTTACCGTTATCTCAGCTTCATTGAAGTTAAAACTTGAGAGATTGTTTTTGTGACAACTACGTGTTTGAGTGCAGTGTTCACTTGTTCAGTGAAAATTATTAGAGTTTAGATTATGTAATGCTTGTGAAGACACATTTTTCTGAAAGATGTAGATGAACATACGTTTTGTGAACGAAAATCACAAGCACTTCTATCTATGAAACTTCCTTCGATGGTTCAATGGTATTGTCGCGACAAGGTGACCCTTGTATTAAAAACTGTAAACTGTAAATATGGTGGAGCTCCAAGAGCTTTCCAGGAGATTTAAATCAGATAGATAAGCTCTAGAACATGGTTTTTTGTGAGTTGTTTAACTGTTGACTGTGTTGGATGAGCTGTCGAATGACTACAAAAAGTATAGCGAGAGGGTTGTGCTTTAGGAAATAAATGACCAGGAAAATGAGTCATATCTAACACAAGCCGACCGGTGTGCCACGGAACACATGGCTCCACATATGACATATATCGTTGCCAAGGTGTTAAAAATCAATTGCATATGCTTGTATGTCTGCAACCGTGTATTTGCATTTTTGTATTTGTATCTTTCTTCATGTTTACAATTTCTATCCGTATTGTGAAAATGACTAGTCAGGAAACGCATTATTCGTCCACTATAGTCCATAGTTATAAGCCAATCTTCAGCGAAAATCTGTCATCGTATGATGCATGTACCAGTAAAAGCATGATCTCCCACTCTGTCTTATGCAATTTTTTGACTTCACTGAATCCTGGCCGTTCAGGATTGCTCTTGTTTCAGCCGTTTCGGACAGCGTGGTGATCACACAACTTGGTTCGCATCGTCATCCTGAATTGGTGCAGTCGTATATATCTTCCTACAAAACGTTGATGATTGAACAGAATTGTCACGGGTGATTTGTTGACGAGAGTTTTAGGTGTAGGGTGATTTTTATGTACACATAGTAATTGTGAATATTTAAGTAAACTGAGGTAAATTTGGGATCGCTTTTCTTGTTGTATCTGTTTATGTTTAGCAATTAGGATAGGTAATAGTAACCATGGCTATAGTCAAGTTTTCGCGTTAAGGCGTTAAGATCGACTAACTGGGGAGATGAAATTTTCAGGTATATGATGACTTCTATGTGAACGTAGTGATCATGAAAATTTAGTGAACATGTAGGTAAATCATGGTAGACTTAGATTTGCGTATCTTATTATGTTGGTTTAATATTTTGGCAGCTGATATTAGATTACTATGGTCATAAGTTGGTCTTATGGTTTAGAGCTTTCGAGGAGATTTAAATCAGATAGATAAGCTCTATCTGATTAAGAGATCGAATAACCCCTAAAGTAGAGATTAAATTCTCTGAAAAAAATATCTACCAAGATTGAAGCAGTTATTAGTGTCATTAACGAAATTTGTTAATTGTGTACGAATAATTAGTAGAATTATTGTCCTTCTTTTCTTTTAAGTTTCTCTGCAAATTTCAGTTTGAGTTTGCACTAATAAATTTGAGTAATTGTTTTGAGTCCTAGTAATATTAGAATAATTGTTACGTGGAGATTATTATCCATGACGGTAGGCCAATTCTTTCTGTTGGTTCTCGACGATTTTGTTCGCGTACAGACCAAAGCTGTGTAGTTTATAAGGTCACCCTACCTTTTACATCACTTGCTGTATTGTTTCATTATCTATATTTATTAAATCACTTTAGCTGTACAGTCAAGCGGTTCCCTGATCGTTTCAGACATCGATGTTTTGGATCAGCGGCGATGAACATCATGATGGTAGCTCAAGGTGCTTGCGATGCGATGGTTGAATACGGACTTCATGCATGGGACATTGCTGCAGCGGCGGTGATAGTTTCCGAAGCCGGTGGTTGTGTGATCGATCCCACAGGTAGGCCATTCATTTGGTGCCTCCCTTGTTTATTATTCATAGCATCACTGTATTGACATATTCAAAATGTTAAATTCATACGCAGTATGGTTTTCAAGGCAATTTTTCACTTTTGGTGCTTACTTCTGTTTGTACTCATGGAATGGAAGACATCGGAGTTCTTTAAGTATCTTTCTTGAAGTCAGAAATATATGACAATACCCTTTTAGAATTTAAGTGGCAGTCGCTTGGTTTTAAAGCAAATTCAACTATAGAATTTGGCTTGTTTCACATCCCATTCATTCATCTGTGTTTGATGAACTATGAATCGATATAATCGAATATAAAAAGTGTATAAAAAACACCATGCGGTAAAGTAAATCAACCAAAGAAATCCCATGAAATCAATCCATGCTGCGGGGAATGTGTTATTTTCTGCGTTCATTCCTTCAATATCATCTGAAATGTAAATGTTTTCATTAACGGTATTATGAGGACACCACGTTTATCTTTCTTCTCACTGCATTATGTGAAATAAAACTAGAATGATGCTGATTTATTTGCAAAACTTGAAACCCAGGCCAAATTCGAACTCGCGTTTACCCTTTATGGTGGCTCACGCGTTACCCACTGCGCCTTTGAGACCCTAGCTTTACCTTTTAGCAGCATCCATAAGTGGAAGGGATTAATCACGTGTTCAAATCTGCGCTGCGTTCCTAATTTTACATATATCTCAGCATCATTATGTGGAAACGGTTTGAAAATCACTACTGGTTATTAGTAATTCAGTACTAGTTGGCCTGAGGCTTCAGTCCTTTTTAGAGAAAGGTCACTGGGATTCTTTATTTCGAGTGGTGCTGATGGAGCTATCGATGAGGAATTTCCTCTTTATAAGCGACGTTGTAATGCCATTGATAGTAACCATCCAAGTATGTGCAGGACTTTTAACACTTAGAATCGGGTGTAATTATTTTCACTGACGCTATGAAAAAACGGGGCTGCTTTTAACTTCTAGCCATTCAGCTAGTAGTGAACTGTATTATTTAAAAGTCATGGGGGCCTACTGATTTTTACCACTTAGGTTCAAGTTTTCTTATTCTATCACGATGAAACCCTGATTTTATGAGGCTCAGAAACAACTGTTTTTCTTTTTTTTTCTTAGTCCAGACTGACATTTCGAACACGAAATCAATTTAACAAGTGGGATTTTCTCTACCAGAATGCAATGGTGTCCCACTAATGTATTAGCGGCAGGACTTTTTGCTATCGGGATCTTCAAATTTTAAATTTATTGCTTATTTTTCTGAAATTTTAATTCCAGATAGTAAAAGTGCTCCGCTGATTGGCACGTTACGGACACTAAGTGCTAAAGATCTTTCCATGCACTTACAAATATTTTCAACCTCAAAGTAACGATTTTTCTAACTCATGACAGTATCTGCGTTCCTTTGATGAAGAACGTTTGAAAACTTCTAGTGAACAGATCTTGTAGAGCTGATGCGAGGTTGGTGTAATATAAGCTGTCGTTGTTGTTGTTGTCTTGAATTGAGTCCCACTCGTAACAGCCCGGCTATGAGAAAGGCGAAATCGCCGAAAAGTCGGCCATCGACCAACAACTTATCCCAACGTTGCATCAGCTCAACAAGATCAGTTCATGAGAACATAAATAAGTCTATCGATTATTAATGCCGAAGTTCATAGAAAGTAGTCCTGTTGAGTTATTTGGGAAATTATTAATTTTTGTTTAGTATAAGCTTCCAGGTGCTCCGTTCAACGTGATGTCGCGGAAAATTCTGTGTGCAAGTACGAAGGAGTTGGCCACGAGCCTAAGTAAAATTCTTACACATGCTGATTTCGAGTTAGAAGGATGATTAACGGTAGTAGAACTTTAATGTTTGCACGAATTTCACCAATGGTGTTTGTGTTTTTTTGCCTTCGACGGTGTTCTACTTCAGTGTGATTTGTCAAACTGCTCCACTAATTGTCTACTGTGAATTTTTGTTTACTTAGTCGGGCAATTCTTACACTTTTTCTTTTGTATTGAACGGTGATTAGAAATGTAAGTTATTTTTTATGATGTGCGTAGACACGTTTATAATTGGTAAAAATGTTGAACTTGGCGTTTATGGTACACATGACGTTGTACAGCAGCGAACTTTGCTATTTCATTGTTTTTGTACTTGGTCTTGACTAATGTTTTTTTTTTCTATTAGTGTCGTTTGTATTACTAATATCTTTCTGGTGCGATGTCTGAGGTGAAGAATAACCAATTCACTCAGGAAGAAGTGCAGAATATCATAAAACAGGTTCGTGTTCTTTTGGCAGGTATTGATTTTTCTGCTTTCATTTTAGTTTACAAATCTCACTTCTAGGACATATTAGGTTTAAGTATATTTTACGTAGCTGCACTTCAAGCGCTTCTAACATACCGCCCGGATAAGATTTTGCATGTTGGCCTTGTAGTAACATTAGAACTCTCAACAGTTTACCACTTCATCGTGCCTGGAAGAGTTCCTGCGTATCCACCCGGCAGGGTCTCCTGAACTGAGAAGGAATCCGGGGTTTTCAAGAGGAAACCCAACTAAGAACAAACCAATTTCCGGATCCACCACCGTCCTGATACCAAACTAATTGCATGGTGACACATCTCCCTCTGATCCACAAGGGCACCGAATGCCTGTCGATCTGGGGTAGACTGGCCTGGCTGACCACGGGAATCCGGGGAAACTCCAAAACAATGGAACTTGTGCTGTGGTCCACACAACTAGTGAATACGGGCTATCCAAATATCCAAATAAGCAATAACATTAATACATGGGTGCATATTGGGATTTTTTAACGTATAGATCTCATTCATGTTGTCACATAATGATGGTAGTTAAAATAGGGTAGCTGTGTAAAATGAAGTGCTACGATCAGGTAGTTGGTTTTTCCTACAGCTTTTCTTTTTCTTAGTTATTTCATCACCGCTGTTTTCTTTCAGGTCCTTGATGAGGTTATCGGTTTGAGTCCATATAACTATGCAGATAGTTTGAATTGGAACAAGCAAGCTGTAGAGCAAATCACAAGGAGACTTGTGGCGCTCAATCGACCTTACAAGTACATAGGTGGATTGTCGCATTCTTCATTCACTTTATTGTTCTCTTTTTTGGCTTCGGTTTGCGTAAATTATGAGCACGCTTCTTAGAAAGTAGTCTTTCAATTAATTTATTTATATATATCATTGAGTAACCATAACGATATGTCTAAAACGTTGATTTTTAGTGAATTCCTCCCTTTTGCAAATTGGTAATGGAACTGGGATGAATGTGAGTACGATTTCATATTGGAACAAGGCAACAGATCGTGAGTTTCATTCAAATTATATTTAATGCGGCTAATTTTAATATACGACTAAGTTTAGTACAAAAATTACAATATTGGTTGATTTTACTCATATGTGACTTGAAACATCTTAGATTAAAGTTCACTACATTAATTAGAATAGAAATGATTAAGATCCATCTTCTATCATTTTGCGTATAAAGTACAAGTCTGCTTATTCTGCTACGATGCGATGAGATTATGGTTTTCTGAATAATGCATGTTGTTTCCTTCTCGCTTTTTTTTCTTCGGGACTAGTATTCGGAGTACTAGAACATAACCGGGATCATTCCAAGCCAGATGGTATGTCGTTGATGTTTGCCGGGTCATTGTATATCGTTATGTTGATGACCTAACAATGTGTGAACAAAGATTGTGAAAATTGCGACAGAAATTTGAATCGACAACAATGCACAAAGTTTTTGGTAGTGGAAGGGATAGTAGTACAGTAATAAACTAGAAGACGGACTTGTATGGTTAACTTTCAATTGACATGCTAACTTTTTTTCTAACTCATAAGAGCGAATCGCGTCATTAAATGCGATCCGACGGAATTTTATCGACATCATTTTAGCGACCACTTAAGTCTGTTGCGTTATTGCGCTGAAAAAGTAATTTCTGACTCCATTTTTCAATGGTAAACATATTTAAAGCAAATGCACCGACATCCCATGTTGAGACAGTTCGGTTTTTTTTCGGAATGAACTGAATAGAGTCATGCGATCAAAGAAGCATTAAGCGTCCAACTTTTTCTTAAACAGCGCCACAATACTCTTGTTTCCTGTTCAGTACTTATCAATGAGTCGAAGGACGTGTACAACACACTTGGTCTATAACGATTTAAGAGTTGTGTTTCTTTTTCTGTGCTATGTATGGTGAAATTTTTTGAGGCTACGTGGGGCAGCTTATTCCTTGATGACTATTCAGTTGATTGGGAACATAAGGAAGGAAGTTTCCGTTATGAATCCTATACCTTCAGCATATCTGATGACCGATTTCTTTATAGGCTACCATGGTCTCCTGAGAGTAATATCAGATTTCCCAAAACTCTCCATCGGTAACACTGTTTCTAGTTTTCTGGACATCTGAGGAAATGCCATTATCGACATCATGGAGTAGTATAATTGTGATTGATAGTGGCAGGGATGCAGAGGGCACCGTCAGCGGAAGAAATTGGGTTCTAGATATTCTAGAGGTAATAGCATTTGGTTACACGATTTGGAAGGGACAACCCAATTTACGTGTGAGGTTGTGAAAGTGCAGAACCAAGTGCTAAAAATGAATAAAGTGGATGAGAGCAATGTCACTGACCGAAATTTCGCGGATTTGAAAGGGAATTTGCAAAGCAGAACGTCAAATTAGCCACGTTTTCATTCGCATAGAAAAACAACGGTGTACAGGAAGACAGTGGAGAACCTCATCAACGACTTATACTTCGGTATTCTCAACAGCCATATCTATTTGCTTTCTTACTTCCTCATTGCTGTCTAAGCGGCTCACCGTGAAGAATCGTACAGCTTGATGGGAAACCACCAGGACCGTGTTGTGGACAGAAAACGGAGATCTACAAGGCAGCACCCGTTGCACCCCAGTCCGCCTTCCGTTTGTCGCCTGTATGCTGTATTCGTTACTAAACAGGACTCTGGAGAAAGCACACACTCTTTGAAGGACAGCTACGTTACTGCCTAGGTTTCGAAAATTGCTCCATATGGCTCATATCCAGATGTTTATCAAATTCGCCGAAACGTCACAAAATTCTATAAATTCTATTGCTTCACTTTCATCAACGTCAGTTGTGAGCGTGGTAATAATGAAACCTTTGGGGATTAGAGGATCCCTGCTTATCATCAAGAAACATCCGTGAGGAACTAGTAGTTGAGACGATCTGGTGAATAGCTTGATTCTAAAGCAAAATAGAGGAAGCGAACGGCTTAAGGAGTTTGCAGGAGTGTCAAGGAAGTAATGAGGACGAATATTATCTGATACCGCGTACATCTCTTAGATCATCTTTATATCAAGACCGAGGTTTCCTTTAGATTCAAATCATTTATGCTAGGCTTTTTATGGAGCATTACGACTTTCTAGCTTGCAGGTTAGATGAGTGTTTTGTTTATTAACAGATGCGACAAGTGCTTATGGGTGTTTATTTCTGAGATCTTTAAGCTTTATTTTATTGAAAGCGGATGTAATCGTGTTTGATCACCTGTATCACCTGTACTCCCGTTGATCGTCGAGTGACTCCAGTAGGCGCCAGTAAATCTTCCATTTTTCCCTGTCGCGTGCAAGAGTAGCCCAGTAGGTCCTGCTCGCTCTTGGAACTCGTCGAGCTTCATATCTTTCTTCTAGGTTCTTCGTGAAAAAATCTGACCATCGGGTCGGTGGTCTTCCTCCAGCACGTTTGACATCCCGAGGAGTCCAGTCACTAACGGCTTTGTCCATCGGTTGTCATTCCTACGCATAACGTGTCCGGCCCATCTTATCTTCGAATGTTTAACGGACAGAACGGGATCTTTGATATTTGATCGTTAACGCAGGTCAGAGCTTCGGTTCCCATCCCTAACTTGGGTGAAACAGGATACTCCTAACATCGTCCTCTCGACTGCGCGTTCGATAACGCTGAATTATTTCTCATCCCGCTTGCGCAGCCACCAGGCTTCTGACGCATATGTTAGAGGAGGAAGTACATTGAGTCGAAAACGTGGGCACGGAGTCGGGTGTTCTTTGTCCTCTTCGCCACATCCTCGATACTTTTAAAAATTCTTTAAGCCGCTCGTTTCCCTCTGCTCGGCTCTGGAGTTAAGTCGTTCAATATGTCGATTGCCTGACCTAGATAGACATAACTGGAGCATTCGGAGATAATCGTTCCATTGAGCGTGAATGGGGCATGCGAAACCAATCCCTTCTTCATGAACATCGTTTTCGTGAGGTTTAGTCGGAGACTAATCTTTCCACAGGCTTTATCAAAGTCGGCAAGCACGCGTTCTGCTTGGTAAATGTTTGGTGTTATAAGGACGATGTCATCAGCAAAGGGAAGATGTAATTGCCGACTATCGATTTTCATTTCCATATTATCCCATTCCAATATTCGCATGACGTTCTTCAGGGTGGCGGTAAATAATTTAGACGAGATGGTGTCGCCTTGCCTAATCCCTCTTTTCACATCAATGATAATATCGTTGCAGAATGGTGATATCTTGGTTGTGAAATTTTTGTACAGCTCATGAAGAATCTTTATGTACTGGGTAGGGACTCCTTGACTATCGAGGGCTTCCAAGACTGCTTCTATCTCAGCTGAATCAAAGGCCTTCTGTAAATCGATGAAAGTGAGACAGAGCGGTCTTTTATACTCTCGCGATACTTCAATGAGCCTTGTTATCGTGTGGATGTGATCCATCGTCCTAAATCCTTTTTGAAGCCCTGCTTGATCACATGGCTGTTCTTCATCCAGCGTTCTTTCAATCCTGTATAGGATGAGTCGAGTGAAAAGTTTGTAGACGACAGACAGTAAGCAGAATGGGCGATAGTTGTCGATATCGTGTAGGTCACCCATCTTGAACAATAACGCGGTCTTACTGGTCTTTCACTGGGTGAGGATTTTGCTTTCAGACAGGTAACGTGTGAACTGCCGAGCCAGTGTGTTTACGAGGACTGGCGGAGGGTTCTTCAGGTGTTCTGATCTTATACTGTCTGGACCTGATACTGTTTGGTATGCTTTCACCGACGAAATGGCATGTCGGATTTCGGAAGGAGAGCCGGTGGCACAACATATCCATCCTCCTTTATTTCATATATTGGAAGGCGGACGTGGCCATCGAAGAGATCCGAGTAGTATTCGTGAATGATTTTCTCCATTGCCTTTCTGGACACTATAACTGTTCCGTCTGGGCGCCTGAGAGCAACCATTTTGGTCTTGTAATTGGCGAAGCTTCGGTGGGCTTTGCGAATGCTTTTCCCAGCTTCTGCAGCTTCGGGCATTACTGCTGCTCTTCTCTCTCTAAGATCTTCTTTTATCGCCTGTCTGCATTCTTTTGCAAGCTCGGACGTTAGTTCGCGGTTGCCTGCAGCTCGTGCGATTCCACGCTGGCGTATCAGCTCGAGTGTTTCTGGGGACAGACGTCTCTTGATGACTTTTGAACTCTCAGCTTTCGTAGCGTTAACGCGATGTTGAATGAGCCGATCGTATTCTTCGTCTATGTCATCGACATCAGCATCTTCCCAACAGCTGACTGTTGAATTGAATAAGTCGCAGTTTGTGGTGGTTATGGAACTTCGGTTTTTGAATTTAGCGGCTATTTCTCCTTTCCGCCAGAAATAGAATGCACGAAGGAGACGATGGTCTGATCCCGTGTAAAATTTTGGGACAACAGCGATATCGGTTAGGCCAAACCTTCTATTTACTATGATGTGGTCTGTTTCGTTATGGTACTCTCCATTAGGAGACTCCTATGTCCAGCGTTGAGCGTGGAGCATCTGGAATTGCGAGTTATCATGGATGGCCTTGGTCCACGTATAGCTTGATGGGCTCTGAGCGTGGGGTAGGGTATACTCACGGGTAATTTGCCAGGCTCTTTCAGAGTGGAAATGGAGCTTATTTATTGGAGGCGACTTCTAACCGCCTCCAACGTCCTTCCACGTCACTTGATTTCAGAATTTTAGCCGAATTAACTCGTGGAATACAATCCGCATCAGCACCCACGCATGCACGCATGAATGCGCCCAGCAAATGCAGAAAGTATGTGCCAAATCAGCGCAGCAGAAACAGGGAGTCCATCTCCTGGGTCCACCTGCGTTTCAGAGAAGCAAAGGTCGCTTTTGGCCTGCGGTTAACTCTGCATCCGCCACCTGTGGACACGACACAGCCTCGCGACTAAACGGCTCGAGGTCCCTCATATGAGGGAGTTCCGTGGAATCGCGCTTGATACCTAGTTTTATCAACGATAATTAGGGTACAGGGTGGATACGCAAAAGATTGGAATTGGCCGTATTCGTGGTATACTTGTGAATTTAT